GATACCGTGGTTTATACTTCAATGGCAAAACTTGTAGGATGGGCATCAGTTGAACGGCATATTCTTATATTTCACAGCAAATGGATTGCAACAAAGATGCAACGTATTCTTATACATTATATACCATTGATGTTGATTATTATGTATGGCATATTACTTTATGGTATAATTACTCCAATAAATGATTGCGGTAGAGGATTCAATTACAATTCAATGTTATGTGGCTATTATAGTTGTGTATACGATTCTGCAGGATACTCTTTGTATGAATTTATGTCTGGCGGAGTATTGTCTTCTATCTGTATAGGATTTGGCAGTGCTTTTTTAATCATTCGTATTATTATTCAAAAACGTCGTCTACAGCAACAGGTACACTGGCGAAGATATCGTAAAATGACAATTCAACTATTGTCTGTCACATCAATTTTCTTTATCATATATTTACCTCCTGTACTTTTGGGTATTAGTAAAAAACTTGGCGTTCCATCTTCGGTAGGTTCTGATTATAGTACATACGCAAATTTCTTTAGCAATTATGTTGTCTTGCTTTTTCCATTTACATGTCTCGGTACATTACCTCAATTGCGCACTCGAGTGAAGACAATATTCCGATTTTGTTATCAACAACAACAAAATAGAGTTGTCCCTATAACAATAACTGTAAAACCAATACAACAATCACGCGTATAAACGAACAGAAAAAAGACTCCTATTCAAAATTTATTGTATTGTTTGTGTAATTGTAAAAAATAAATTCATTTTTTAATGAACAGAAGATTTTCTTTGTTATTTTTATCAGATGAATAATATCAACATCTAGTATAATTAGAAATATTAAAATTATCTTTAAGTACAAAAATAAAGAGCTCATGAGAGAAAGAATATACGTCATCATAATAACTATGTAATATAAGTACTTTTCTGCAACGATTATGACCAACTAGGTGGAAGTGAACGCATTCATTTGTCAATTATCAGTGTTGTTTTAATGATATGATCAAAAGAAAACAAATGATAGCATAAATAAACGTTGATAGAAATCGTTTTTTGATATTTTTAAAGAAATGAATTAACAAAAGGTGAAAATATCGATAGAATACATGAAAAATACTGAGATCTAAAAATCTAGAAATGATAAAAGAAAGTAGAAGAAACGGTGACTCTGTTAGAAAACACACACTGTAGTTTTAGTATCATTAACATCAAATACTCACAACTGGGTTTATGCTCGATGTTCAAGAGCTAACAGAATCTAATTGTATACAAATTCAAATAAAAGATACGGATGAAGAGGATAAAACTGACATAGAATGTTGTTTATTTGGAGACTTTTTCGTAAATTCCACATGCTTAATTTTATCTGTATATGGCACAATATGTAATATTTAGAAATTTGTAGTTGTATAAAAACAGAATGTATAAGCTAGAAAATTGTTTTCTAGTGCTATTAACGATCTTTTATATTCACGAAAAATATTAATCTTTTGATTGTTTCTATTATGAAATTTTTCAATTTCGTGTTCGTTAGGAATAGCAATGCCACACAGATTTACGTAAAATATTTCTATACTGCGGTCAATTACACAAATTTACAATAGTAATTTTTATATAAATGTACTCCACTAAAGCCATCCATTGTTTATATTCGCATGATATTAGAAAAAATAAAATGGCAAAAATAAATCCGCTTGTAAGACTAGTAATCAACTGCTGAAAAATATACGGAATTTTCGATGATCACTTTCATCATTATCAAGAAAAAAGAATGTATGAAAAATAATACAGAGAAGACTATCACATAACAGTTGTTTTTGACAAAGAAATCTATCTCATAAGAAAAGACTAATATTTCCCATAAATAGAACAAATTCTTGAAAGCATCAGAAAACAGTTTTCCAGCTTTCGTATTGTATTTTTATTGAATTGAAATTCAAACTGAATATATAAGGAGATCTCACCATAATTTAAGTCCTTTTCTTAGACATTTCCATAAATTTCGTTTGTACAAAAGTAATATTAACTGTTTTCTTCAATAAGTAACAGCAGCGGATTAATTAGTTACTTTTATTCCAGACATAAAATCAATAGACATATAAATAAAACGATTAATTTTGTAATGTCTAATTTAAGTTCGAATATAATTGGACAGCTGTCTGCCCAATATCAGTTCAAAAATAGATGGATGAGTGTGGATGTAAGTGGTCCTAGTCGTTCTGAATTTATATAATTCATCGTCATTTCAAGTATACAATTTAATCTTTGCTAGAGAGTCACGAGGAAAATTCATATAGCAGAGAGAATTCAAAGATTAAAGAGTGATTTTTTAAATTTATAATAAACAATGAAAAGAAATCCAAAAAAAATTATACTCTCACTCACATTCGCTCGCTCAAAAATTAATAATAGGTGAATGACTAATATGATGACATCATTCTTTGCTTCATTTAGAAAAGGCAACAGTACTCAGGCTGATTCTATAACCTCTATTTTGTACTTGTAAAAGAAAAATGAGTAGGTAGAAACTTACATTCTAAACGCAATTACTGTCCTTTTTGCATGACACTCAAGAAAAAAGTACGAACAATCATGAATACGAAATGATATGCTTGACGTTCTTGCCTTTCTGACTCATAGAAAAACAAAACTATAAAAGACAACAACTCATACAACTATAAACACATTCGTAAAAACATGACGATTGGTTTTCGGAAGACCACAGAAAATTTATTGGAAGGTTTGGTAAATGAAACTGCTATCAAAATAGAATGGCAAGATCAATATACGATGACAGCAATCATTCCAGATGTCAACGAACCAACTGTACATCATTCAATCACTGCAAAATGTCAAAAAAATATATTCTCTAATGAACTTGAACGATTCCAATGGGAAACGATTCTAATTGATAAACATGCTGTTCAAACTATGGATGATTTAAGAATATTAAGTTTAAACGAACAGCAATGCGCAATAATACAACAGAATATTGATGGCACTAATTATCTTGAAGAAATTTACGAGCAATGCAAAACATTGCGACCAAAAATATTGGAATCTATAGACAAATTAATTGGAACTTCATTCTCTACAACGTTTAATTCAACTCAACCCAAAGCTTATGCCACTTCACTAGCACAATAACCACCACGAGAGGCATTGATCATCACTGAGACGTGTGGTAACATTGATGGTTCAACTGGAAATCCACTTAAAAATGTTATGTTTGGCTCAAAACCTGGTACAATTGAACATCAGCCAAACATGGTGTTTCGCAAATTCATTTTGTTTCATATATAAATGCTGAAATACGAGAAGCTGGTTCTATTCCAATGCATTTGGTTAATGATTTTAAATTCTACCTAGACAAGCATCAATTTCCAATGAATAAATATGCTGTTGAAGTATCGGATAAACAATCTGATGTAGAAAACTCGATTGATGCTTTTGTCTTATTATCAAAACGTAGTTTCATACCATTGCATGGTGATTATCAAATAAAGACAAGTTTTCCGGCACAAATCACGTCGGAGAGCCGGGTGATTGATTGGAATACAGCAGAAGATGCAATTGAATGTGCACGAATTGTTTCACAATTGGCAAATCTTTCTAAACTACCAGAAAACCTTTGGGTATTACCAACATTATTTGCAGCTCAAGTCAAAGATAATGATAATACGACATTTTATATTCGTGGTGGCCTTAAAGATGCATACAGCAATGGAACTATTATTGGTTTACCCGAGCATTTGACACCAGTTACAGCTTGTGCCTTGACAACTCGAAATATTTTGACACCTGATAAAACATTATTTGAAAGTTTAGTTGTGTTAGATGCACTGCCTCTCTTTAAGATGTTTATTCGTTGAATCGAG